AGGAAGAGGGAGGGGGAAGGAAGGAGGGGAGGGGGAAAAGAGGGAGGGGATAAAGAGGAGGAGGAAGGAAGAGGGAGGGGGAAGGGAGGGAGAGAGAAGGGAGGGGGAAGGAGGGGATAAGGAGGAAGTGGGAAAGAGGGAAGGGGAAGGAGGGGGTAAGGAGGAAAGAAGAAAGAGGGAGGGGGAAGGGAGAGGGAAAAGAGATGGAAGGAGGAGGGGGGAAGGAGAAAGGAGGAGGAAGAAGGAGGGGGAGAGAAAGAGAGGGAGAGAAGGAGGAAGGGAGAAGGGGAGGGAGAAGGAAGGAGGGAGGAGGAAGGAGGGGAAGGAGGAAGAAAAGGAAGGAAGGGGAAACAAAGAAGGAAGGGAAGGCGGGAAGGAGGCTATTGCGGACACATTTATTGGCTGGAGTGAGGTAGAAAGCCCTCACAGATAGATCAGCCATGCCCTAGCAGCCGCTCTGCCCACTCAGGGGCCGAGGCCCTCCTATCCTTTCTAGCAAGTGCAGCCGGAAACCTCACCCAGAGCTGTGTTCCTCTCCTCCAGCATCTCCACCTTCACCACGTGGTTGGCAGGCGGGGCGTCCTCCAGCCGCTCAATGAGTGCATTCACGAGGTCCTCGTGGTTGCCAGGGAAGACACCCAGGTGGTCCCCTGGCTGGTACTGCAGCTCCTGATTCCCGTTGGTGTGGAGACGCACGAAGATGGTTGATCGGCTGCAGGGAACGGGGGGGGGGGGTCGTGGGACAAAGATCACTACTCTGTCTCTCCTTTACCCCTGGTCTGTCTCTCTAGGCTGCAGAGACATCCTTCCATGCTCCCCGGCTCTGGTCTGCTGAGGTGCATGCTAACACTCACCCCGTAGCTTTTGCCAAGCTCGCCAGTCAGCTCTCCATCCCATAGCCAACAGCCAGGTCCTGGTCCAGGGGCATCACACTTGTGATGTCTCACCTCCTTTCTTGGGGCTGGTCCCCAAATTCTTACGGCCTCTCTGGTAGTCCCAGCTCAGTTTTCTGTGCTGGTCCTTTCTCATCTTCCAAGCCCTGAGCCCGGCCACAACCTGCTGAGATGTATCTGTCTCCCATAGCTTTCTGTCCCTCCCCCACTTTCCTCCGTTAAGGTATCCTTTACTTTCTTACTTCCGAGGCTGGTGGTGTATTCTAGGATAATAGGAATACCGTGTGTGACACAGGGCATTTTTCTACTATGGCTGTGGCTTTATCCCCATGATAGTGGCTGGCACATAGTATGTATGTCCTGAATCTTTGCCGAAGGAAGGCACTTCAGGGTTCCCCTGTTAACTAGTTGCTAGCCATGTCCTTTGTAACCATCAGGGTTCTGTCAGGAACCAGCGGCTCACTGTAGCCACAGGGAGGATGTCTCTGATTTATGAAGCTCTGTTTATCATCTCTCATAGGGCGGCGGTGGCGCACGCCTCTAATCCCAGCACTTGGGAGGCAGGGGCAGGCGGATTTCCGAGTTCGAGGCCAGCCTGGTCTACCGAGTGAGTCCCAGGACAGCCAGGGCTACATAGAGAAACCCTGTCTCGAAAAAAGGAAAAAAAAAAAAGAATTTCATGCTCTCTTAATTTTTTAAATGTGTATGTGTGTGTACGAGTGCGCGTAGCGGTCACAGTGGCACGTGCTTGCCTTGGCACATGTATGGAGGACAATTTAAGTGGCTCGGTTCTTTGTACCTGCTTTGTCCGTCTCAGGGATTGAACTCAGGTAGTCAGGCTTGGCAGCAAGCACCTTTACCCGCTGAGCCCTCTCGCTGGCCCTCTGCTCTCTTTTGCGAGCAAGGTCCATTTGTAGTAGAAGGAAGGGCCAGCCAGAGGCTCAGGGCCACTAGTGCAGAGATGCATCAGAGCGTGAGAGTGGGGGACACTAGGGAGAATCCGTGCACCGGGTCACACCTGCTTGAGTTGTGTGTTCCAAGTGCAGGAGGCCTATGTTAACAAGTTGCTTCAGGAGCGAGTTCTTAGGGCTGGAGAGATAGCTCAGTGAGATGGCTCAGTGGCAGAGGACCCAGGTTCAATTCCCAGCATGTGTGTGAGGCAGCTCACAATCACCTATAACTCAAGTTCTAAGGGAATATAATTCCCTCTCCTGGGTACTCCATGTACATAATACACAGATACATATGCAGGCAAAATATCCACATACATAAAATAAAACATAAAATAAAATAAAATAAAATAAAATAAAATAAAATAAAATAAAATAAAACGTAAACCAAAAGAATGAATTCTTGGGGCTGGAGAGTTGGCTCAGTGGTTAACTGGCTGCTCTGAGTTTGGTTTCCAGCACCCACATGATGGCTCATGACTAGCTTCAACTCCAGCTGCAGGGGGATGCCCAGTTCTGACTTCCAGTTCCAGGCATGTGAGTGGTACACAGACATACATGCAGGTTCAACACTTACATACATGAGTAAATCCTATTTGTTTTTAAGGAGTGAATGTTTGGCCAGGTGTAGTGACGTACGCCTTTAATCCCAGCACTCAGGAGGCAGAGGCAAGCAGATACCTGTGAGCTTGAGTCCAGACTGGTCTCAATAGAGTTCCAGGATAGCCAAGGCTACATGGTAAGACCCTATCCCCACGTGCTACCCATAAAGAAGTTTTGCTGGTCCTCAGTAGAGGTCTTAAACCTATAGTCACTCACAAGGCTGAGGCAGAAGTACTGTGAGTTTGAGGTATGTTGGCTACTGAGTTCAAGACCAGCTTGAGCAGGCTAGTGAGATCCTGTCTCATAATACAAAAGCAAAGCAAAAAGGGGGCTGGAGCTTCAGCCCTTGCCTGTTAGCCTCTCAGGCAGTCCTTATATCCAGACATGAGCTCGATCTGGACTACAGGTGAAACCAATTCCCATCTGCCCAAAGGAATCATTTTTCTCACCCCTGGCAGGAAGAAATTGAAACTACTTGACACCTAACAGCATCCAGCACGTGGAAGTCTCTTGGTTCAATCCCTAGCACCACCAAAGAATGAAAAAGATCACGACTAGTAAATGAGATACCCAAAGTGTGATTATTTTGGTCCATTAAAAAAATCTTAAGGCTGGGGCTGGAGAGATGGCTCAGCAGTTAAGAGTGCTGGCTGTTCTTCCAGAGGACCTAGATTCAGTTCTCAGTTCTCAGTGTGGTGCACGACTATCTGTAACTCCAGGTCCAGGGGTTCCTTCCCTCTTCTGGGGAGATGGCTCAGTAGTTAAAATGCTTGCTTTGCAAGAGTATAAGGTTCACATCTCCCAAACCCACTCAGTACGACGTGGGGCATGATGGTCCATTGTCAATCTTAGCTTTAGAAAGTAGGGTCATGGGATCTCTGGAGCAAACTGCTTGGCAAGAGTCTCAGGGAGAGCTCTGGGTTTCACAGAGAGATCCTGCCTCAAAGAATATGGTGGAAAGAGCCCCAACATTAACTGGGGGCCTCTGTGTACATGCAAGCATGTATGCATACATGAGCCCCGCATATGTGAACCAGTGTACATGTGAGAAGAAGAAAATGAATAAAATCGTCTTGGGGCAGATCTAATGCATTTTACATAATATTTATAGATCTAGGTAGAGATTAACAATGGTTAGTCTGCAATCGGGACCGTCTGTTCTTGCGGGGAGGGGGGTGAGTCTGCATCTGGAAGAGCTTGCACCTAGGCAAGTCTGCACCTGAGTGTCTGCACCTGAGTGAGCCTGCACTTGGGTTAGTCTGCACCTGGGCACGTATGCACATGTTGAGTCTGTACATGGGCAAATCTGCACCAGGTGAAGTTTATACCTGGGTGAGTCTGCACCTGGTGAGTCTGCACTTGGGTGAGTCTGCACCTGGGTGAGTCTGCACCTGGCGAGTCTGCACCTGGGTGAGTCTGCACCTGGTGAGTCTGCACCTGGTGAGTCTACACTTGGGTGAGTCTGCACTTGGGTGAGTCCGCACTCTGAGCTGCAGGCTGCCATAGCTCTCCAGACCTCACTCCTTCCTCCTTGTCAACTGGCCTCAGTGGAGGGAGAAGCTCGTGTTCTCCACATGTAAATAACACTTGAATAGACCAAGAGCACTTGCTATTTAGGGATGTTTTTGGCATAACCGAGAGCCCCTTTGTGCTATGAATAGCCACCGATATTAAAAATAGCTAAACTGGCACAAATCTCTGTGTGTAAGTGGGGCGGGGAGAGCGTGAAGCTGTTTCTTGACGTCTGGCACCCTGTTTGTGATATGGTGGACAGGTTGGGAGGCTTTACTATGTGTTCCTAGGGTTTGGGATGTCCCTTTCCTCTCCCAAGAGGGTCTTGGACTCTCTGGGATACTGAGCTTGTCGGTTACAGCATCTTTATCTCTGATCAGTTTTTGGTTCCTGGGAGCAAAGACATCACTGTGGTGACAGGAAGAGTTTAGCAGGAGACACCAACCAGCAGGGGGCGCCGCAAGTCTTCTAATTCAGGAGCCGGCGGCTCAAGCGCAGCTAAAGTCCGCGAATCAATTTGCATTTTCTTCCCTGCGTCGTCGGAACTTGTTGCCAACGGGAAGGCCAAGGACCCCAAGGACCTGAGCCCGCTGGCCTGCCTGATGTTCAGTTGCTTCCTTCAAAGCCCTATGTCCCTGCTTATGATCCAAACTAAAGGAGGGGATGAGATGTGGCCAACGCATGCCCGGAAGGTGTGTCCAGGTGCCCGGAAGGTGGGTCCAGGTGCCACAACATCCGGGAACTTGCACGAGATGACTTTGCAAGTGACTAGTTGGGCATGGGTCTCACAGGCCAGCCTGAGCATCAGTTACAGTCACCCTCAACTCAGCTGCATTTTTTATGTTCACTAAACTTAGGGGTAGAGTTTTTTTTTTCTTTCCCTTTCTTCATTCATTCACTTCCTTCCTCCTCCTGTCCCTTCACAGACAGAGGGCCTCACACCGTACGTAGCTCAGGCTGGCCTGGAGCTCATTATGTAGCCCAGACTGGCTTTGAACTCTCGCCTCGGCGTGCCAAGTGCTAAGATTATAGGTGTGAACCACAACCCATATGGTCCATTGAGAAGCTGTGGGGGAGAAGGGCAATTTGGGAAGCGGTAGCCATTCAGGCCTTGCCTTTCTGTCTCCTCACAGTCTGTCCTGTGTCTGGCTCATTTCTTTCAGATACAGAAGTGTCATTTACAAGCACTCAGACACACACACATACACACACACACAGATTTAAAGACAGACAGACACACATGTACGACAGCTTCACAGGTGAGACAACAATTGCCTAATGCCCCATGTTAAATAGAAAAATTCAACTATCTAATAGCTCCATTCTACCAGAAGGGTAACGAGAGCCTTGAATCAACCCCCCTGAGCAAGGCCCGTCCATCAGTACACATACATGGAGCTTTAGGGACTGTGGGGAGGGGGAGGGGTGAGGAGGGCAGGATGGCTTATTCTCACCGAGGAGTCACTTGAAGATCTCAGTGGGTGGCATGAGGGAGACAGTGGGTGAAGGTGGCCCCTCTGTGGGCTGGTATTTGAACATATTTAGGAGTGAGTTCACAAACAACCCCGCTCTGGGTGATCTAGAGGGAGGGGCAGTGAAAGTCTAGTGTAGAAAAGGGGGCAGCAGGCGAGGAAAGGGGAAATGTTGTTCTTCTTTCGTATTTTACAATGGCAGTGTCTTTCTATGTTGTCCAAGCTCCCTTCAAAGTCACTATGTAGCCCAGGCTGGCTCTGAATGAATGATATACACTAGGGTGATCAGGAACTCACAATCCTTTTTGCCGCAGCATTCTGGAGTACTAAAATTAAAGGTATGTGCCACCATGCCTGACCATGACTTCAGAGTTTGACGGAAGTGATGGGTGGATCCCAGGGACCTCTCCATGATCTGTGTGATCCCCCAAGGACTTCTTCATGACCTGTCTGGCAAAGGTTTCAGAGAATCCCCTTTGAGCTGCAGAAACCACTGCAGGCTGCAAAGCTGAGAGCTCACCTGCTTCAACTAACATTTTAAAAATATTTTTGGGCCACCTTATTAAAAAAAAAACAACAGGGCTCATAGGTTGAGATATACCATAGTAAGTGTGCTTGATATGAAAGCAGAGGCCTGAGTTCAAATTCCCTCTTGGAAGTGAAAAGCTGGGCGAGGTAGTGTGTCTATAATCCTTTTTTTTTTGGTTTGGTTTTTCAAGATCTGTGTAGCCCGGGCTGTCCTGGAACTCACTCTGTAGACCAGGCTAGCCTCGAACTCTTGAACTCAGAAATCCGCCTGCCTCTGCCTCCCAAGTGCTGGGATTGGCTGTGTGTCTATAATCCTACAGCTGGAGAGGAGGGTGCCTGTGGCTCACCCATCAGCAGTTTAGTTGAATCAATGCTCTCCAGGTTTAGTGAGAGCCTACTTCAAAAAGTAAGGATTCTGTCACCTCAGGTCTCTATACATATGTATGCATACATGTACACACATGCACATATATGAACATACATGCACACATGTACATGTATGCATGTACACACAGGTACAAACATATACACACATATGCATGAACACACATGCATGCATGCCCATACATGCCCACATAGGTACACACATGTGCAGACATGCACACATGTACACACACACAGTGGTACAAACATGTACACACATATGAACACACATGCACACATATGTGCATACATGCACATACATGTACACATAGGTACATATACACATGCACACACATGTAAAAACATGTATACACATACATATGTACATATACACATGCATGCACAGGTAAAAACATGTACACATACATATGTACATACATGCACACACATGTACACATATGTACATACAGGCATGCATATGTACACACATGTACACACATACACACACAGGTTTATATATATGTGTACCCCATGCAGACATAAGGATATTTCTATTAGGACCCTCTCTGTCCATTGAAAATTCCCTTTATGTCCACAAGTTAGTTCTTCCCTTCCTAGGCATCCTCTTTCTTCTCTGAAGTCCACTCTCCTTAGCAATTCATCTCGGTTCTTCATTCTCTCTCCTCCTCCTGACTTCTAGAACTTTCTGTCTCTACCCTGCCCACACTCACCCCATTACACCACTTGTACACATTGTTTTTCCTAATTACTGGTGCCTGTACCACAAGACTCATTTCTAGGAAGGATGCTGAGCGGGGTCGCTCTGAGCGGATCACCCGCCGAAGGCTGTTCACTTCCTTCTTGGCACTTTGCTTATAATTAAGAATTGCTAGTGGGAACAATGTACGAGATTTATGCTTTCCTAGGCCAGAGAGCCATCACTTTGGTCTTGGCAGTTGGGTGAGTTATGCTTTTTCCACTCAAAAAATTAAACCCTACAAAGCATTATCTTTAAAAAACATATTTAGTTATTTTTATCTTATGTGTGCATGCATGGAAGTTTTGCCTACATGTACATTTGTGCACTACATGCTTGCCTGGGCCCACAGAGGCCAGAAGAGGGCGCCAGATCCCCTAGAACTGGAGTTATACACAGTTGTGAGCCACTATATAGGTGCTGGGCGTCAAACTCAAGTCCTTTAGAAGAACAGCTGGGGCTCTTTGTTCCAAACTGCAAATTGGCATGATCTTAAAGAGATACGCACACTTTGTTCCTTTCTCTGCTAATTCACAACTATTTTAACTCAATTCCAGCTCCTAACGTTGCTTGGAATATTCCTTTGTTAATAACGTTTTGCCAGAGTCAGTGGTCAGGGGGATTCGAAGGCCATTAGCCGGTTTTCTTGCTGTCTAAGAACCATGCTCCAGGGAGGACTCACCACACACTGGCTTTACAACATACATGGCTCCTCAGTAAGCTTAAAACCTCTCTTCCGACAGTCCTTCTCCGTCAGATGTCCCTATGCACCTAATGCTGCCTTTAAATGGTTGTTCAAAGATATTTGATGCCTAATATAGGCTATCAATGCCCGAGAGTCTTTGAGAGACAGTTCAGGAGGCTTGGGACTCTGTCCTATTGACCTCTTTAATCAAAGGCTTGGAAGGGCATGCAGGAATGTGCGCCAATTTTGCAGGTGACACAAGGAAGCTGGGAAGAACAAGAAGTGTGACTGGATCCTGTACTGTGCCAGCATCTTCAGAAGGCTCATTTGTAATGGTCACAGCAGCCTGGCAAGTGTGGTGGAGGCCATCTGTGGAGTCATTCGGTGTGGCGGCCAGATAACCAGGTCAGTGTGACCTTGGGAAAGTCACTGGCATTTTCTCAGAGTAACTTCTCATACCTAACATGTGTGATGTTATAGTATTTATGTTGTAATACAATATAACATGCTATAATATGTATTATAATAAATTGTGACCTTTGCTTCTTGGACTGGAGTAAGAAATTACCCAGAGGGCTCAGTTTGGTGTGTGGAAGATAAAATATACTAGATATGATTGTGTAAGCTTGCTGGCAGTATTTAAAAAAAAACATTTATTTTTATTTTGTCTATGAATGTTTCCAATGCACGCATGTTCACTGCTGCCCATGAAGGCCAGAAGGGGGAGCCAAATCTCTTACAATTGGAGTAGAGTTGTGAGCAGTCACGTGGATGCTGGGAACTGACCCGCAGTCCTCTGCAGAGGCAGCCAGTGTGTTTAACCACTGAGCCATCTCTCTCCAGCTCGCCACTGTCTACCCCGTGACTTTTCCAAAGCCACACACAAACCTAGTTTGTGTGAGAAAGAGCTGGAGTCAGTGCCTAGGGCTGTGAAAAAGAATTTGAAAGATCTACCTGGGTTGTAACTGAAAAAAAAAAATGGAAAAAATTCCTGAGAGAGACTGAGTGCAGAGACTTGAAAAATTGCCTATAGACACAGACGGGCAGCCAGTCTGGGTGTAATCAGGCTGGGCCCAGTGAGGGCACAGGCGTAGAGGGTGAGCGGGTTGGCTCCAAGGACAGTGCCTGCATGACAGGTGATATTAGCATGTCCTGTTTAGACTGGTAATGGCAGTAACTGGTCCAGCATGGATGTTGGTGGGGAATCATGCAACTTCTGCTGCTGGTGAGGTCTGAGAGTGATGTTTCCAGTGGACACTGAGGGCCTTGTGATTAAATCCCAAAGCTCAAGAATTCATACATTAAAGAGAACAGCTTAAAGGCTCCGGGACCCAAAGGATGGTGTTCTTGGCTATGCAAATCTCTCATTAGGAAGAAGTGAATTTGTTTTGGGTGTCGCTGAATAGGGTTAACTGGGTTTTATGTCAAGTGCGAAGACTTAAAAAAAATATAGTTCAGGGGTCCAGAACTTGAATAGTGTGTGCAAGACCCTAGGCTCAAGATCCAGCATCACATAAAACAAAAGTCACAACTCCAAGTGCTAAGACAAACACACTTTGTATCGGATAGCAAGGTGTTTGGCTAGATATTAAGATATTTGGCTATGCTGGATAGTATGATAATTCTTAGGGCTGGTGAGATGGCTCAGTGGGTAGAAGCATTTACTGAACAAGCCTGAGAGTTCAGGTCTCTACAAGTCACATAAAAGGCTGGAGAGATGGCACTGGTGGCCATCAGAGAGGACCCAGGTTTAGTTCCCAGCATCCCCATGGTGGCTCACAATCACCTTTAACTCCAGTTTGCAGGGAACTGACAGTCTCTTCTGGCCTTGGCGAGCACTGTATTTAGCAGGTAACACACACACA